ACAAAGGAAAAGCTTAAGATAATTCCAGGTATAAGCTCTTCAAAGGCAACGTAAAATATAACAAGACAGGTGCCGACGTCTCTCCGGAGAGGCTATTAAAGACAAAGAGCAGTGTTTTGAATATGCGCTTGGTTAATGTGGAACAAGGATTATTATCAAGGTTATTCAGTGCAAGAATTATTTATTAGGAGTGCAAGTCCTGGTGTGTCTTCTTAAATTGTCCCACACTTTAATTTATGGGAATTATACGACAACCCGCAAATATAAAAACTCTCACAATTTTTGTATGCAACTTTAAAACTTAGGCACTGCTGGGATAGTTTACCAAATGTCAGTGGACACAGTAAGAACGATTATATCAAAGTTTTCAGTGTATCTTTTACCACAACAAACGCTTAATTGAATAAAGGCAATATGTATAAAGTGTCATACTTGAACAAAGCCTCATCACTCATATAACCTTTATCATCAGGAAAGAAAAACATGTGGCCAATACGTGTGTGATGTGTGAAGACAGGAAATGTGCGTTTTCTGAACCTAGTTGAAGTAGTGGTGAAGTGTGTGTGATGTGCGAACCGAAATAAATACTATCTTTGAACAGATAGAAAAAACGATGTGCTTTGATGAACTTTGCATTTCCGGAGACCCAGATAAAAGACATGAAGAGATTGAAGGATAATAAAAAAATGTACAAAGTTGCGATATCAAAACAACATCCTCTCTGCTGCAAGGCTGGAGTGGAGTTATGTTTTCCCTCAGGTGGATTTATCTACTCCTTCCTCACTTCTATTTCAAACATTCTCAGTTTGTTGGTTTCTGTGCTCAATATACAACGTTTTTAAAGAAAGACACAGATGGAAGGAGAGCAAAAGAGTAATTGGAAGTATGAAGATAATGACGTTATCCATTTTAAGTGTCACAACAAGTTACTGTTATTGTGTTGTATTGCTTATTGTATCTAAACGGACAATAGAAAACAATAAAGTTTATCTAAATATTTCTAGCAATATACTGTTTTAATTTTGCACTGCAAGGGGAATTCTCATGGGGGTGTAGCCTGATCATCACCTACTTTGTAAATAGTTATTGGTCAATTGTGTGGGTTTGGCTTGTCAGGCTAATATTGTACCTGCTTAAAAAAAAACCACTTACTGAACATTGACCCAAGCAAATTATTCTCTTAATCTTGGTAGATCTGAATCATGCTCCCTTTACCATGACAACTAAAAGATAATTTTGCAGGGGCTATGGAGGACTGGCTGTCTCTCTTCAGATCACACGGCCCTGAGCTGTGGAGTACCACACGGTTCGATCCTGGGCCCCTTTGTGTTCAATCTCTACAAGCTGCCATGAGTCCACTTAATATGCAGAAACTATGCATATGACTCTAGGATCTTTGTCTCACTGACTGCAAGGAAACGTGGACCTTCACTGCATCCAACAGATCAGTGAGTATTGTATAGTGTACTGTGAGTGAGCATTAAGTATTGTTTGTTCAAGCCACTCTTATTTTAAGATATTATTGTGATTCATGTATTGTTTTGTTAACATTTGCTAACATAATAACTTCATTTTGAATAACTTTGCATATAAATTGTGCTCTGTAAATACACACCTCCTTTACAGAAAGAGCATTGTTTCAGCACATGCAGGGGGTTAAATGGTAAATGGATTTATCCAACAACCTGGTGGTCAATTCTTTTTTGTCTGGGCGCCACTGTTCTCAAAGCAGAAAAACCAAAAGGGCGAGAGGTGAGGAAACACAGGACATAAGAAAATGGAGCATGGAATTGCCCCTTCCAAAACCTAAGCTACTGTTATTGCAGGTTTTCCTATGACACAAATGTTCTGAGGGCCTAAATTTACATTAGATGAGGAGCAGCTATAATAAATATTAAAATCAAGATTATGTAGCAATTTAACACATTAGGTACATTATCGGGTTCAACATTGATGGATTTCCTTTTTGGCTATTTCTCAAGCACTACTGAAACAAAAGCCAAAGTGACTTTTTAGGATTTTAACATCGCCAGTTGTACTCCTCTCATAACAACCGTGTGTATCCAGAAAAGGAAATACGGAATATAATGTGGGAAACAAAACAGCCAGTAATAAAGCATTGAGTGTTTATTTTATTTAATTTTTTAAATCTTGCCTGACTTTTTTAGAGTCCTTAGTTGTTGTCTCAAAGGCTAAGCTCTTTTGTTCAGACTGACAACCATCATAACAACAAAAAGGAATCAATTACACCAAGGAATAATTATGATCACCAAAATAACAGGTAAAAAAGTCAGAAAATGTGATCAGGGGAACTGTAATGGTTGTCTAAACTGTAGCCCAGAGGTGAATTATTTGGACTTATTACATACAAATGATAAATCATTTATGATATAGATAGATGCGTTAGGATATTCTTTTTTGGTAGATGTTTCAGAGAAAACTCAGCTCAGCTTTGATCGGATTGAACCAAAACTAGACCAAAGTTAAAGAAGGATTATGTATTTTATTATTTATCACAATTGCCCCTGCACTAGCCAACTAGGTTTTCTATAGTATTTTGTTAATTATTAAAACACGTGTCGAAAAATCAGCAAATGCAACATAGTTATATTTACTACTCATTTAGGGAAAGGATGGCAGCAGACGCTCCACTAAGTTATCAGCTATCACTGAACACTACAGGGGCCAACCAATAACCAAAAGACGTCAGACATGCCAAATTTTGTTAATGTGTCGATTATTTTTGTTCTTATAGAAGCGTGTCCCAATATTAACCCATTTCTCTGAAGTCATTACCAATAAGCTGTTCAACTGTGCATGTAAATTTGCTTTAGGAGACTTGAGCCGCTTTAATTAGCTGCTTTCAGAGGGCTGCTTCCTGGAGAGCTGATGAAAGTTGCTAAGTAGGAAGATAATGAATTTTTTAAGCCACTGTGTAAATTCCAGCATTATTCAGTCATAAAGAAGGAGACCACAGTTGAAGCAATACAGTGAGTAATATTAAGCATATCCCTTAATTGTACCACAAAACATGGAGATTGGATAAAGATAGATGACAAGGAAGCACAGTTTCTCAGAGAAACAAAAAAAAACATGCTGTCTAAAGGTTTGGCAATATGTTTTAATTAGATGCTTCTGTCTCCCACTCACAATATGCCAAATGTTCTTTGTGGGCGGATGTTTTGAATATGTAAGTGACACTATTTTCCACTGGGCAAAATAAACAATGTATGCGACATCAAAACACATTCAGAAGGATTTGAAGATGGAGAAATTCTGACAAAGCCACAAACAAAGACGCTACTTACAACAGTGCAAAGAATATTGTGCCAGACAATAACCCAGCGCTGACTCATGAATACGGCTCCAAGTGTTGGCACGGATTCGGCTCTGTAACAGCAGGAGATGGAAATTAAACAAAAATGTCCATAAAAAAACCTTTAGGTTGAAATTATCTTTGTGGATCATTTTCTTACTTATTCCCATTACAGGTAATGGGACAGGAGCCCTCCCAACTGGTCCTGATGTGGCCAAAAAATTGATATTATGAAGCAGCAAAGTTGTCATGGTTGTCAATCAAGTCAATCTAGGGCTGGAGCTATGGGAGAAAACAAAAACCATGTCCCTCCATGGTTGTATTCTCCTTTCATTAAAAGGTAAAGTAAATTACGGGTTCAATAAAAACAAAAATTTTATTGATAAATTTCCCTCCAGATTACACTAATTTCTCATTCTTTCTCTCAACAGCCCCTTCTATTGTTACTACCACATTATTGTTATGTTATTATTTAACTCAGTTCTCTATAATCGCCCTGCTTGACTGGGGTTTCTGTGTGGGTTTTGCACGTGTCCCTACATCTTAGTAGTAAGTAAGTAAGTAAGTAGTAGTAAGTAAGTAATCTTTATTTATTTACATCTTTCTACATATTTGTTGTTTCAGGACTATAAATGTTATAAATGTGCTTTACTGAGATCATGTTCATGTGTAGTATTGTAATTGGGTAAGTGATATATTCCAATCATTTTATGTCCATTAAAATTAGTTATCATGACAGGCCTAACGTTCGACATAATTGTGGATAGCAAATAGATACGTGTAATATACAAAATACATTTGTAAAATGTGTTATATAAAAATGAATAATATCAATAGTTAAAGATGTAAACTGACTTACCACTATCAACATGAACCTGGTAAGATTCCCACCAGCGCACCTTAACACTGTCATTAGCTGTCGTTTTGCTGCTCTCTACTGGCAGAAGTACACATTACAGTGGTTTCGCTGGGTAACATGGGTCTGGTTAAAATTTACATTCAAACAGGAGACTATTTGCATACAGTAATGAAAACAATAAAGTCCTGACATAAGTCTGCTTCTCTCTCGTTGATCCTGTAGGGCGTAGATGTCATGTCCATGCCATGATCGTTAACCACGTTACTTCCGCACCAAACCAAAACGTACAAGAAGTTACAAAAAAAACCTGTTTTTATTGTAAAGCCTCTGATCTGAACGGGGAAAAACTATTCTACGAGAAACTTAAAAAAATAAAAATAAAGAAAGAATATAATTAAGAAAAACAAAAAATACCCTTTTGCATGGAAAATAAAGACCGGGTGAAATCCGAGGCACTCTGATAAAAAGTCCTTTAATGCAGAAGGGACCAACGCGTTTCGGCCACGCAGGGCCTTCTTCAGGGCTATGTCAAAGAATATAATTAAAACAATCACATTGATTAGAAAATGAAATATTAATTAATTAGTAGACCCCTGTATGTATTTATGTATGAATCTAATGTTCTTTATTTTTCCGATATTTCAATAAAGATACTTTTTATGCGCAATCATAAAAATAAAAAGTGGTAGTCGTTACTTCCGCATCCCAGTGCACGGCTCTGTGATTGGATACGTCTTCCCGGTTCGTTTCCCGCGAACTGGCTACATGCTCCTGCAAAGCTGCCGCTAGGTTATGTTAGCTCAGCGCTGCGTGTAAAAGTACAAGATGTCAAAACAAAGCTCCCTCTTTAGCTTTTTTGGCAAATCTCCTCCGCCAGTTGTCGCCAAACCGAAGCCTTCTCCATCTCCTACCGAGGCGGACTTGCCCTCCTCCGTGGACAGGTCCAGCTCTTCCCCGAAAGAGCAGGCGAAACAGACGCCACAACAACCCACTCCGAAGAGCAACAAGCCCAAAGCCAAAAGTGACGCTAAACATGCAAAAGGTGCATTTAGTAAACTGTTTGGAGACAAAACGCCGCAGAGAAAAGAATGGTAAGTGTGTATCATTTTGAGAGGATTGCACTTGCATTGATTCATCCTGCAGGTTTCAGATCCCAGAGTGGTATGTATTTCAACTGTACCATTTGAGCCTGGGCTAAAAATTGCTTTCACATCGTTATTTCACTGCTGTAGTGTAGACTGTTGACAATAATTTCCTTCTGTTGAATTTAGGCTGGGCCAGGTTCCAAACTTTTTTTTTTTCTTTTAATTTTCCTTACTTGTCCTGAAAGTCACTTGAATTGTGAATTGTCTATTCTTTATCACTTTTCTGTCTGAAAAAAAAGCCTAAAAATGCATGTAAAAACTCGATCGAATCAAACTATCTAGGACACTAGTTAGATGGATTTTATTGCATTGTTTTTTTTTTAAGTACATAAAGTTCTGTTGAACATAAAATATTAAATTGTTCACCCATAATTGCTTCTGGAAATAGTTTGGTACATGTACATCGTGTTTCCCTATTTTGACCAACCTGGATAAAACATTTTTCTCTCTACTTTCAGTACCCCAAAGTTCTCATTTGGTGCAGGTTCCCTTGTGTGGGCCAAAATGGAGGGGCACCCCTGGTGGCCCTGTATGGTGGTGCCACAGCCTATAATACGGCAACAGCTGAGAGGACAGGGAAAAAAACAGCGAGTGCACGTCCATTTCTTTGATGAGCCGCCAACAAGAGGATGGGTCAACATAAAATACATAAGAGCATACCAGGGTAATCCTCTTTCTTTATGAGATGTGCTTGTTCTTTTTTGCAATAGACTCTTCCAAGTCTGTGACTTCCTGTTACTTACATGGCAATACAAATTATTCTGATTCTGATAGAGTACTCTTATGTCTCTTATAGGCTCTGACAGCAGTGATGCCAAAATTGGAGGGGTGTTTTTCAGCAACAAACCTGTCATTCGTCGTGCTATGGAGCTTGCTGATGCTGTTATGTTTGACACGGATGAAAAAAGACTAAAAATACCTGTTTGCACTGACCCCTCTGGAGATGAAGAGGAGGAGGATGAGCAAATGGAGGTAATGAATATTAGTTATTAATACTTTAATCACTTAATATGGTCATACATATTGCCATGATTTCTAAGAGAAAATTTATAAAACACAAAATAATTTGTCATTGATTCTAAAAAAAAAAAAAAAAAAAAAAACTGCTTGACCAACAATACAGTCTGAGGCATCTTATAAGAAAGTTTGGTAAAATGTGATTTATTTATTTATTTTTTTTACAGCTTGATAAATCAACCTTAACTGATGAAGATGACAGTTTTGAGGAGCAGAAGAGTGAAGAAATGAAACCACCTAAAGGCCGCCGCTCTTCCAGAGCTGCTGTGGCAAACGGAAACAAGCCTAAACGGAGGCGTATTGTTGCAGCTTCGGACAGCGACGGCTCAGAGGATGAATTCAAACCAGAGCACGCAGCCAGCAGCAGTGAGGACGATGAAGAAGAACCCACCGTCTCCAGCGAAAGCGAGCCAGAGGGCTCAGAATCGGAACCAGAGAGTCCAGTCAAACCTATAAAACGCAAACGGCCCGCTGAAAAAGCTGCCAATGCTAAACCTAAATTACCCATTACCCCTGTCAGTGCTTCTAAACGGCCTCCAGCGGCATTTACGGCTGATACAAAGTCCCGCCTCTCAGCTTTTTCTGCCCCAGATAGCTTTGAGTGCAAAGCGAATTCAGGCGGAAGCGGCAGTGCAACTGTTTGGGACCACGAGAAGTTGGAATGGCTCCAGGATGGCCGCAGAAAAGATGGTAAAAGGCGACGTCAATCGGAGGAAGAATATGATCCAACAACTCTCTATGTCCCGGACGACTTTTTAAACCGTCAGACTCCAGGAATGCGAAGATGGTGGCAGCTCAAACAAAACCTGTTTGATACGGTTATTTTTTATAAAGTGGGCAAGTTTTATGAGCTCTACCACATGGATGCGGTCATAGGTGTTAATGAACTAGGGTTTACATTCATGAAGGGCACATGGGCACATTCAGGCTTTCCAGAGATAGGATTTGCTAAGTTTTCAGATGTACTTGTTCAAAAAGGCTACAAGGTGGCAAGAGTGGAGCAGACGGAGACACCCGACATGATGGAAGCCCGCTGCAAGAGCATGAGTAAACCTTCTAAATTTGACAAAGTAGTCAAAAGAGAAGTGTGCAGGATTATCACAAAGGGTACCCAGACTTACAGTGTCCTGGATGGGGCTCCTTCTGAAAGCCAGAGCAAGTTTCTCCTCAGTTTGAAGGAAAAGGCCGAAGAGGAAAGCTCTGGCCGCTGCCGTACATATGGAGTCTGTTTTGTCGACACCTCTGTTGGTTATTTCCACGTGGGACAGTTTGAGGATGACCGTCACTGCTCCCGTCTTCGTACCCTTATTGCCCACTATTCTCCCACTGAGGTTCTCTTTGAAAAGGGGAACCCCTCAGTGGATACACGCAAAATCTTTAAAGCCTCTTTATCAGCAGCTCTCCAAGAGGGACTCAACGCTGGCAGTCAGTTTTGGGATGCTCAGAAAACCCTTAAAACCCTTTCTGAAGAAGATTATTTCAGTGAAAATGCTGACAAAAAAAAGGGTGGTAATAGCCTTCTTCCTTCTCTGCTCAAAAACATGACATCAGAGAGTGATTCCTTGTGCCTAACCCCTAAAGATGGCTACGAGCTTGCGCTTTCAGCCCTAGGCGGGTGCATTTTCTATTTGAAGAAGTGTCTCGTGGACCAAGAACTACTGTCTATGGCTAACTTTGAAGAATACGTCCCTGTCGATGTGGAGCTGGAGAAGGCATCTGGGTCAGCGAGCTTCTTCTCCCAAACTAGACAGCGCATGGTTTTGGATGGAGTAACGTTGGCCAATTTGGAGATATTTCAAAATGGTTCTGGGGGCACAGAAGGGACATTACTAGAAATTTTGGATACATGCTCAACCCCATTTGGCAAAAGGCTTTTAAAACAATGGTTATGTGCACCCCTGTGTAATGCAAAGTCTATCCAAGACAGGCTGGATGCAGTGGAGGATCTTATGGGAGCGCAAGCCCAGGCGTCAGAAGTATCAGATCTTCTAAAAAAGTTACCAGATTTGGAGAGACTTCTGAGTAAAATCCACAGTATTGGGACGCCTCTCAAGGGACGGGACCATCCTGACTCCAGAGCTGTTCTCTACGAAGAAGTCACTTACAGCAAGCGTAAGATCGCAGACTTCCTCTCATCACTGGAAGGATTTAAAACCATGCAAGAGATCATTAATGTCATGTCTACAGTGTCTGCTGATTTCCGGTCTGTGCTGCTTTGCCAAGTTGTTTCTTTAAAGCACAAAAAAAATGGCATATTTCCCGATCTCACGGATGAACTGAAACGTTGGGAGACTGCGTTTGACCACCAGAAAGCACGCACCACTGGAGTCATCACTCCAAAGTCTGGCTTTGACCCAGAGTATGACCAAGCCCTAACTGGGGTCAAATCCTGCGAGAGGGAACTGCAGGACTATTTAGACAGACAGAAGAAGAGACTGGGCTGTAAAAACATGTCCTACTGGGGAACAGGCAAAAACCGCTTTCAGATGGAGGTCCCGGACAGCATTTCAGAGAGGAACATTCCAGAGGAGTACGACGTGAAGTCGACTAAAAAAGGTTGGAAGCGCTATGTGACGAAAGAGTCGGAGAAGCTGTTTTCAGAGATGCAAGTTTATGAAGAGAAACGAGACTCTGCACTCAAAGATTGCATGAGACAACTCTTCTATAACTTCGACAAAAATTACAAAGACTGGAAGACTGCTGTGGAGTGCATGGCCGTGCTTGGTAAATGCTTTTATTTGAGTTTATTGCAGAGTAATGACTGTAAAAGAGTGTATTGCTCAATCAGTGAGGAATAGGTTACTGGTATAGACACACATTTGCACTGCAGGTGTCTTATTTCCTGCTGATTTTTCTTATTCTCTTCACTTCTTTGGTTCATATTATGTAAATTAGTCTAATAGATTCCCAGTGTATTGATTTACAGTATTAAAATGCATTTTGGATAGAATTTTGTAATGGTTAAGTTTGAAACATATAAAATATATATATTTATTAAATATATGAATTATGTTGTTTGTATTTCTTTCAAGAACTTCCCCCTTGTTTTTTTGGCATGTAATGTTGATGTTTATCTTTGTTTACAGATGTGCTTTTAGCCCTGTCCCGCTACAGTCAGGGTGGAGATGGACCGATGGCCCGGCCTGATGTGGTGCTTCCTGAAGACGACGTTAAGTCCACTTCCTTCATTGATCTGCTGGGGTCTCGTCACCCATGTGTCACTAAGACTTATTTTGGAGATGATTTCATCCCCAACGATATCCATGTGGGCTGTCCCGGTAGCAGTGAAGGCGATGAAGAGAAGAGCTCTGCCTCCTGTGTCCTCGTCACTGGGCCCAATATGGGAGGAAAGTCCACACTGATGAGACAGGTGGGTCATTTACTACTATGTATTTCACTTTTTTACGAGGATGGAGAAGATATGAATAGAAGAAGCATGTTTTTATATGGACTTATTTTTTCTGCAGATGGTTTAAGTCAAATAGGCTTAAGAACATGACATGTTTTGTTGCCCGTTATAATAGGACGGGAATAGGACGAGTGGTGGAGAGTAGGAAAAGGGCACTAAAATTTTGTCCTGAGGCTGTGACTATATTGCCGAGCTTACACACTTGTGTCAACGTACCATGAGGGCAGAGGCTTAGGCTGCGGTCACATGCGCAGCCTAAAGCCCGGTTAAAGTGTGCCAGGGTCCACTTTGCGATTAGATCCGGGCTTTAGGTGCCATCTGACCGCGGCATTCAAAACTTCGGCCAGGGCCCGCTTCCCAGCTCGGATGAGGGGGGGTCAGTGTCGCGGGTGGTGGGGAGTGGGGGATGAGGTGTGGTGGGGCCTTGATATTGTGCGTCACATTACGTCTTCCTGTGCAGTGATTTCCCACACATAGACTAATCTGTGGCGCACCGCCACAATTAGAGGACCGCCCGCCACAAATAGCGTTTCGTATTATTATATATATATTTTTTTTGTTACGCTATTTTAAAACATGCATCGTCTAGTGCCGCCGCAGCGGTCAATTTGACAGCGGGGAGGGGGGTTTAAAATGTGGCGGCCCTTCGTAACTCTCACTCAAGCTACGCGTCTCTCCCACATACAGAGACCTACACACACACAGCCCCTCCCCTTCGTGCACACCGCGTGTCCACGCATTTTCACACAGTCTCTCCTGCACTTTGGTATTCTCCGCTTTCATATAAGCCCCCGGACCGTGGTCGAGGGGCGCTGGGGAGTGTCTCTCTGCAGAGCCAAAGAAAAGCGTTTCCTACGGGTAAAGCTCTCTTCTGTCCTGACCCTCGCTCTCAGTGAGATGCTATTGCAATAACACTTCAGACATTCAAGAATCAGTCTTTTATTTAATCACCAACACACACACACACACACACTTGTAACCTCCCTGTCTGCGGTCGCTCTGCTCGTACTCCACACTTTTCATTCTTTCATTCTCATTCATTAATTTCTCAGCGCTCTTATGCTCGTTGCTAAAGAGTGTGTGTGTGTGTGTGCACTGGTGTCCGCGGCGCGCACACGCGTGAGATGTATCTTTCCCTACACAACGCGATCCGTACTGAGCTGTTAGCTACAGTGGCAGAATGTAAACAGGAAAAGAAGCGGATCTCAACCCGGACAACGAGGTAGTCGCTGGTGTTAGTATTAGCGCCATCAGCTGGACTGAGTTTTGTACTACAGCACAATTTCCCTGGCACAGTTCAGACAATATGTTCATGTGACTGCGGGCCATTTTCACACCCCTGTGGCGACGATCCGGGCCACTTGGCCTAGTACGTTTGTAAAAACCTATGTGACCGTGGCCTTAAATACCAGGACTACAGAGCAACAACACAAATGTGTTAAAGGATGGCCTTGAGTTACTTGGAAAATTACTTTGACAATATCTAATGCTGAGTTGTGCACCACTAAGGAATGAATGAAAAAGTAAATGTCATATTTTCTGTTTAGTGCGGACTTGTGATCATCCTCGCTCAGTTAGGCTGCTATGTTCCTGCTGAGAGTCTGAGGTTCACTCCAGTCGATAGGGTTTTCACTCGCCTCGGGGCTTCAGATCGCATAATGGCTGGTAACTTCATGTCTTACTCATAGCTACACTTTGCTCTGATAGTATAATATTTTCTCATGAATTACATTATTTTTGACAGGTGAGAGTACTTTCTTTGTGGAGCTCAGTGAGACGGCCAGTATCTTGCACCATGCCACTAAACATTCTCTGGTGCTTCTGGATGAGCTTGGTAAGATTTGGCTGCTTGGTTTCTGGATGCTTTGTTCGGATTTTAATGTTGGAGTATGTTACAAAAATGTTTCCATTTTGCCATTGTAGGAAGAGGCACAGCAACGTATGATGGTACAGCCATTGCCAGTGCTGTGGTGAAGGAACTGGCAGAAAAGATCTGCTGTCGGACCCTGTTCTCCACTCATTACCACTCTCTGGTTGAGGACTATGCCAACAACCCAGCAGTCCGTCTGGGACACATGGTGAGTAGCCCTTTGTCACACAGTATTTTGAGTAAACAATAGCTGAAAGTAGCGCTACGTTTTGGGGGTGAACTTTCAGTGCTTTGGGCACACATAAAACAGATCCACAATCTGACATTTTATCTGATCAAACTTTGTTATGTCTGACACTTGTAAATGATGACCTATATTACATCAGAATATAGGTGATGTAACTGTGGCAGTCCTCAATTTGTATTCTTTGACTAATCGCCACACGGCATAATCTCGACCAATACAATTCTTTGACATCAGCCCTAATGTTATACACCAGTAGTTAATGGGTATTTATGATTTTCCACCTGTAACTTGGATTTTTTGCCGAAAAAAAGTAATTAATTCTCATTGTTTCAGGCCTGCATGGTGGAGAATGAATGTGAAGATCCAAGTCAAGAAACCATAACATTCTTGTACAAGTTTATCACAGGCGCCTGTCCAAAGAGCTATGGTTTTAATGCTGCTCGCCTCGCTAACCTGCCAGAGGAGGTGATCCAGAACGGACACCAGAAGGCCAGAGAGTTTGAGAAGAGCACAATCAGCCTCAGACTCTTCAAGTACGTACTATCAAGTATCAAGCTTAGATCTTTGTTTTTGGATAAATATTAGACTACAGATGCTAAAGTTAACCCATTGCCAAATTCATGTTTAATCACGCTCACAATCTCTTCTTCTTCAACAGGAAAATATGTCAGTTTGCGGAGGATGCTACACTGGACAAGACTTACTTTACAACTATTGTTCAAACGATTAACACATTTTAGTTCATAAAAAAACATCCTGTTCAAAAGGTTTGTTCAGCAGCAGAAAAACAATGCATTGAGCTAATAAAGTTTATTTTTTTTAAAAATGACAATGTTTCCTCTAGGAAATTAAACCCTTTTAATTCACACTAGCGCCTACATAACGGTTATTGAATACTTCACAATATATTAAGTCTAGATGTTATGATACATGCATACATTTCAGTCTGTATGAGAACCCACAATCACCAGTACACATGGAAGGGGAGGGATAATGAAACCATATAGGGCTGTATATAGACACTTGTCTCAGCTTCAGTAGAGTCAAAGCTTTTCACTTCTCCAGCAATGTTGGCTGTAGAGAACAAACGAGAGATGCTTTCACAAGACTTGTCCGTAATACAAAACAATACCCATTTTTTTTTTTATAAGCCAGCTATAAAAAGATGAAATTAACTTGAGGACTCAAGGAAAACATACTGAAATACTATACAGTTATAAAAAGGCAAAAGATAAAAACTTTATTTGGTGATGAGCAGCTTGACATTTGGAAATGTCTAACACTTGGCAAGCGGCTACAACACAAGCTACATCCTAAAATACAAAATAAATATAGGCCCTTTAACAAAATTATGCATAGAATAAGTTCAAATCTGTATTTGTAACAACAAATGTGACCAATGATACATGGGCAAGTCTGGGGAAAGCATAGGTTGTAGTGTATTGCAAATGTAGAGTCAACATGGCTGGAGAAAATGTTTAGTGTTTTCCTCTTTTCTGGTCTCTTTCACAGAAAGAAGTTAGATACTGTGACATGAGTATAATTACAGCAATTCTAGGATATATTAACCAAAAAATTAAACATTTAATAAAATAAAGACATTCAAGTACAGTAAGATTTTTGCATGAAAATACAAAACTACACAAAGCAATAAAATCAAATCAACATTTTTCTTGAGGAAAAGCTGAAGTGCTAGGTCATTTTCCCATTCATGGATTGGGAGCACGTTGCAGCTCACATTGGAAGCATTGCTATACCAGGGCCGCTGGTCCTTGACAGAAGTTCCTGCTTGTTTGCACTTGGCCTGTGTCACAACGGTCTACCATCTCTTCAAGACGGACGACTCGTGGCATTTTTCTACTGACTGAATACACAGACCAAGTCAGCTGCTCCTGTCCTCTTATCTTTTTTTATCGAATAATTGAAGAAAAAAAGAGGCATCCACTATCAGTTTTTTTTCCTTTAAGCATGTCATTTGAAAGTCTTGAGTGTCAAAGTGAATGCATTTAAAGTTTCCTCGTGCCACTGCAGAAGATAAAGTGTCTGGGAGCACATACTGCGGATGGTCCTGGAGCTCAGTTGTGCTGCAGTGTATTGGACTCTATAGGAGGAGCTGAGTCATACAGAGTGTCTGTGTCATGAGTGGGCTCCCCAGCTAACGTGCAAGGATTCGACAGCGTCCCAGCACCACAGTCGCAGAAGAATCTGCAGCAGATCCAAAATAGTTTAGACCAGCAGAATCATTCTAGTTGCTAACAAACTGGGTTACTCTTTCCACTTGTTTATCAATACCAAAAGTTTTTCAAGTAATAGATTATAGGTAGTTGATGCATTTTAAGCAGAGACAAAAAGAGATGACATTGTAATCCAACAATTAAAAACAAATATAGGGTAGTAATGTGATACTGACCTATCATGTCTGATGAACTCCACATCGTGTCCTTGATGACACTTCTTAATGCAGTTCACACAGATGGCGTTACGGTCTGTTGTGTTACAGGTGTGACACCTTAGAAAAAAAACAAAAACAAAAAGGTCAAACACAGATGCAGTTATGTGGTCATTAATCTGGATGATCAGGCGCTGTACCTGTAAAAATCGTGCATTGGGTAGCTGGTGTAGCTTGAAATTTTGTAGAGGCACTGACCTCTGCTAACAGCCTTCTCAATGGCATCTTGATTGTTCGATATTTTATTATCTTGGGGATAGCAAAAATGGTAATTAGAAGTTAGTAAATTATTCTAAAATTATTACCTGATTAAATAAACACATGAACCAGATAAGTGTTAATTACTTGTATACCTTTCATTGTAACATTGACACCAGATGCAAGAAACAACCCTCCAAAGCGATTGTTGAAGATCTGATTGGCCTCAAGAGTGGCTGTGGCATGGTTGGTGATCTCAATACCTAAAACAACAATAATCATGATGATAGTAACAGTGGACACATTACAGCAATTCATTCTAACTTCAAAAAGCTACAGGATGAAATTTACCTGCAGCAAAACCATCAAATATCCTGTTTTTCCGCAACACTGGATGGCTGTTGGTGCTAATTAGGACTCCTGCTTGAGCATTTCGGAAGATGTCATTTTCTTCTAACAAACCTGAAATAACACATTAGAAAACACTTTATTCCATGTACTGTCATCATTCATGAATGTCAGTGCATTTTATAAAAATCTTTGTCTAATAAACTTACCTCTTCCTCCATTAAAGATGCAGATTCCCCCATCTCTACCATCGTGAATCTTATTCCTCCTAAGAGTTGGATTACTGTCAGTCTTGATCCAAACTCCTGCCATAGCATTGTCAAAGATCTCATTGTCCTCAATAAAGCCCAATCCTAAGAAACAAAGCAATATTCAACCATTATATACTGTAGAAACAAATTATAAAAACAACATTCTACTAACCTGAGTTATAAACTAAAATGCCACCATTTTGCCCACCCCAGATTTTGTTGCGCCTGATTTTGGGATTGCTACCGGTTCTGAAATAAAAATGCACAATGTGAACAGCTTGTGGGATGACTCATTTTCTCTGCACATTGACAGACGTGTGTATGACATTGTAGCTGTCAATTTGAGAGAAAATGTCCTTAGATCATTGATTTTCAACAAACCTAATTTGAACTCCAGAGTACATGTGATTGTAAATGTCATTATCTTCAAGGACACCATGGCCATTGTCATAGAAGTAGACTCCAACCTGAAGCATAAAGCTTAGAGTTAACAATGCATAAATGTAAAAGAGTGAAATGAAGAAATGCTCCAGAAGTTGTCACCAGACACTAGTTGTTCCCTCACCTGTTTCCCACTGTGTATCCTGTTCCTCCTCAGCACGGGCGTGCTGCCCGTCGTAACCCACACTCCGGCCAGCGTGTTACTGTACACTTCATTCTCCTCGATGACACCTTGTCCTTTTTCATGCTGCATCAATTCAACACTTCAGTCATGTTCATTGTGATAACATGAACATTTATACAACAAATAAGACTTACCACATAGATGCCTCCATGCTGCCCATCATGAATCTTGTTGTGTCTGACAATAGGACAGCTGTTGGTCCTGATCTGAATTCCTGCTAAGGCATTACCATAGATATCATTTCCTTCTATGAGTCCTCGACCATCGCCAAAAATGTAAACTCCACCTTGGTTACCATTAAAAATGGCATTACCCCTGTAATGGAAAATACAGTTTCATCATCATCTTAGTCAAAAATAAATTTAAATACAAGAGGAACCAAACTTCAGTTAGAAACACTGACCTTATTGTTGGGTCACTGTTGGACGTAATCCAGACTCCAGCAAAATTATTTGCATAGATCTTATTCTCTATGAACTGTCCCCGGCCTTTTTCATGGACATAAATGCCCCCCGTCTGACCGTGATGTATCTCACAGCGGACCACTGTTGGGTTGGCATATGCCTTCACCTCAAAACCTGCTATACGATTCCTATGGATGTTACAGCTTTCAAAGTAGCCCTGAATAACAGAACAGCTCTTAAAACATGTTTGACATTTAATATATGTATTGAAAGAGTAACAGAGGGAACATTATTTTACCATGCCGTGGTCAAAAGTGAAAACGCCAACATCTCGACCATGGTGAATGTGATTACGTCTGATTATCGGATTGCCATGGTTTTTCACCCAGATGCCAGCCAGAGCATTATTTGAGATCTCGTTGTCTTCATATATTCCCTAAAAAAAGTTACTTCGTAAAAGTGAATTACAATAAGTTAAAACCAATAGGAATGGTATGAAATTACCTGTGCATGGTCAGTGATATAGAGGCCCACGTTTTCACAGTCACTGATGTTGCAATGCTTGATTGTGGGACAAGCGCCTTGGCCACTCACACAGACAGCAGAACCCACTTAAAGAGGTGGCATTGGTTTTTATTATTATCCGACCATCTCCAAAATAAAAACGTACAAGGCTGAATATTACCTGTACACGTGCTGCGTATGATGCAGTGATCAATAATAGGACTACAGTTGACGGTAATCTCTAAGCAGTGGTGCGCATTGTGGTGCTGGGCAGATTTATCATCCGGATTGAACTGTAATTGAAATTTTTTTAAAATTGCCGATAGTGAGAAGGTTATTTAATCCAAATACAGTCAGTGTGGTTAAAGTCTCCTTTATAGTTACCCTTATAGTCATGTATCCAACATAGGCATCCTCAGAGCCTTCCATAAAGACAAAGGTAGAATCTCTGGTGTTCTCAATTATGACTTTTTCTGCCACTTTTCCCGGAGCTGTAATCATGCATTGATTAGATAAACCATCTTTAAAAAACACTAAATCACCAGGTAGTAGTTTTGTAAAGCCCACCAGCTCCAATCATTGTAATTGGTGACTCAATGTAGATCCATTCATCTGTATAAATGCCAGAGTGGACAAATATCAAGCCATCAAAATGAGGCTCCTGCCCCCCTCCTAGGGCATCCTCAATGGTGTCATAGTACTGTAAAAGAAGATTGTGCTTACATTCAGCCTCAATTTCCCCATTGATATTTAATAAAATAGACAAGAATTTCACTTACAAACATATTCTCTCTGCCTTTGTATCTGGCAGGATTACTGTAGAAATGTTCCGCAAAACCTGGTTTCACATGAGCTCCTTTATACTGTAATCAAAAACACAATCCACATTCAAATCAAACAAAACAATCTATATCTTCTGGTACATTGTGTCAGAGCGAAATGATCACAAAACAAGAATGGAAAGCATATGAGGAAAAAAATCTAGCAAACTCTTGAGAGGCAATGCCATCACAATGTTTTACTTTACACAGCCCTTTACACCGAGGTGACATGATAACTTCAGGTGCAGAGTCACCTCACATCATAACAACTTTAAACTCTATATCTCTAATGCGCCAATAGATTTTCTGAGTAGCAACAATAGAAAACAAACTTCTTTGAATCCCATTCACCACAGGAGTGACATGGGCAGTTGACTCCCGCTTATTTCCTCTGCAGACTGGAGTGGAGACATGCATTATCCAGGCAAACAGTCGTAATTGAATTCATATCAACTCATGTAGAGAGATATTGCCATAGTGACAGTGAACACCTTTGGACAACCACTTGTGAGCAATTGAGGCACAAAACTTGCTCCTAATTAACCCCTCCCGTAGAGTAACTCTATAGAGAACGAGAGCCAACACAGGCAAATTGGGTCCTGGAAAGCAATGTGACCAATGGAACTGGACTCTTGTTCACTTGGGGCAAATTCAGCTCAATTCGTTGGGATGTAAAAGCACGAAACAAAAGAAGACTGGTCCACTTGTCATCTCTCTTTTTTTACATAGATCTGTAACATTACAACTGTTGTATTTACTTCTAAATTGAAGGGCACCAAGTTTACCAACCATTCTCAGACAGAGCGGAGCAGAGGAGGAAGTTACTCCTTAACTTAGGCACACTTAACCAGACACAAGCTTATGCACAGCGCTATGCTCAATACATTTCTTTCAAATGATGAAAGCTCTGATTTAGTCACAAATGTTTACAATTAACTTTATGGTGGAAAAGCTAAATTTACTCAAACACAAATAAGTCCCTCACCAGCTGTTGGAAGCTCTCCTTCCACGGGTTTGGCTGCTCATACTCTTCAGGGTTAATCTGGTAAAACTTCCCAGCCTCTGGATGCATCATGGGCCGTGTATATTCAAAAACTTCCATGTAGAGCCTTTTCCTATTAAAAAAAATAAATTAATTAATGCACTAAAACATTTGATAATGCAGATAACTTACCAGAGGATAGGGTCGTTGGCAAGTTCACTGAATCTTTTGCACACACATGCTGCGCGACACAAATCTTGCTCCAAAAGGTAGGAGAAGATCTTTAGTACAACCTCGTCTGGAAGCTTTTCTTGTAAATATTGCTCTGCTGGGGCTGCTGGAGAATAGAGGAGATAAGAGTATAGGAACTAACCAATGGAGCCAACTAAAGCAGTAGTTTACTGGTTTCATGGTTTACTAATAAATACCTGGTAAATCTTGACACTTTCCTGACACTCTGGGGCGCTTTGGTCTGTGTCCAAAATGTTCTGTTGTTGATGTAGAAGCACCCTGAACAAGGACATGGTTAATATCTTTGCTGCTCGTTATAAAAACTGCAGATTTATTTAAGTGTTGACAACTCACCTCCATGTTCGTCTTTGCTGGACACACTGTTCTCTTGGGTAGAGACTTCCTTCTAAGCTGGTATGGACTGTTTTGAGCTCCTGGACCGGATTCTTCTGCAACCATATCTGCAGGCTCGTCCTCATCTGCTACAAAATCAAACGAACGCCATCTCAATATAAAGCTTCAATCTTGAACAACAGTGCTTTTCAATCAGCGGATGAGACTTAAAAGCAAGTGAAGTAATGCAAAATGTTGCACAGGACTGCTTTACTTTCCGTGATCTTGTGTTGGGCACTAAAAGTATAAATGTTTTACATCAACCAGTCTCATTTTTAGCTGTAACATGGGCAGATTGTGAAAATGTCATTATCATTATTATTCTATTACCTTTTTTTCCCAAGCAAAACTAAATATTGATCAGCGCCCAGTCAATGTGACATCACGTTTTAAATGCCTGCTTGAGGGGGCTCAAAATAAAGCATTGCCTTCAAGTTCAAATGATGAATTTTTTGAATATTTTTAGAGACAATCTATACTTGAAATTGAATACAGGCTCACACAACATCAGAGTTTTGGCGTCAGAGACAGATATTTAAAATGCTCACTGTGTACCCCAACAATAACATTACGTTTACGTGACAAAATATAACGTTAAAACAATACAGCGGACATTTGAAAATTGTTACGACAGAGATGGAAAATAACAGATTCCTTATGGCTCCAAAATAAACGCTGTGGCTTTGGAGACGTCAGGAAACATATGGCTATCAAACATGCTAATAATAACAGCTAACAGCGGCTAAGCTAAGAGCATTACTACGACAAACACTTTGTGTATCCTCGGCATTTTAAGTAGCTCTGCCGAAGATAGACTGATTTAAGAGTCATTTCTACGTATCCTACATTATCAGAAAACCACATTTACGTTCCTAAACACACACACAAGACACATAAAAGACGATGCCTCGGAACAAAATAAGCAAAACAAAGCGCGGCCTCCATATCAGGTCCAAACACAAAAGCCTCGGAGTTTCCTGAGCGCGCATCCGCTGCTCACAGCCTCATGTGAGCCACCCGCTGTTAAACATGGCGACAATGGCTGACACATTACGCACTCTGCGCTTGACCAGAGCAAGCCTTCCTCGTTTCAAACACTGGTGTGAAGCCGCGTTATACATCAGCGTTAACATGAGCGGTAGTCACCTCTGTCCTGCGGGTTCCTCTCCTGCACCGGGCGCGGCCTCGACAGTCGCCTGGGTCTTCTGCTAACGCTGCTCGCTCTGACGGAGTTCATTTGGGTGTTGTAATCTGGAGGAAAACTCGAAGCCTTCACAGCAGAAGAGGCGACGTAGGATTCATCTTTTATGTCTTTCTCTTCAGCATTGTACAATTTTCCATTTTGCACCACGACTCCCTAAAAACGTATCGCGGTGTGTTATTCCCGTTGCCTCGCAGTGGTCTTTCGTCTTCAGCCCTGTCTGTGTGGAGCAGGAGGAGCCATAACAGCAGCGGTACCGCACATCACATGGAGCACCGTGCGTCATGGCGCAAACCACCGCGGTCCATTCAACTGCGCTATGCAGCTGCAGCAATGGAAAAGATGAATTTAACCATATCAACTTCGTCATGAGAAATACACCGGTAAGTAGGGCACTGTTCTTGTTAACAATTACTTGACCGCAGCTTCTGTCACTCATGTCCCAACAAACCAAAATATTGCATGCAAACATATTATTTTGTTCTATAGTAACAGTAGTAAAATAAAGAAATAAATGTATAGATTTGTATTTTGTTAAAGTGTGTCAAATGGCACAAATGGAAATGTACACAATTTAAACAAAGTGTTCATCAAGATGCTGGCCACTGCTTTTTTATAGTTTTATGAACCCAGCGGCTTATATTATGATAGCATGCAGGTAATGTGTGTATTTTTGTCAGAGACAAAGTTTATAAACTTTTTTTGATAACCATCCTGATGCCATCCTACCAGAGATTCTCTTTCAGTGCAGATGTCCATTTTATTTGCACTTCTGAAAAGGGATTGGTTAATATACAGTTTTTTTCCTTTTTTCCTTCTGTGATTGTGCATTTTAAATGGGTCATAACAAGGAAAAACATTCTTCTCTGGAACGGATGCCATAAGTTTACTGATAAATACGTTACTCTTCCCAACTACATTTCTGAGCTACTTGCGCAACTTGTCCGCTAGATGGCCTCTCTCCTCCACTAACTCACATGCGTTTTATAGTGTCAAAAGAAATTACAGTACAGTAGGGTGCAGGTTTCTCTGTGGTATTGTCTGATTTGTTATATACCGCTATATATAAAAGCATTTGGTCTTAAATACGTTACATAATATTCTTGAAAACACATTAACTGGGCTGGTTTTAATTCATACATTTATTTATGGCCTGTCAACAAAGATAGGTTTGTGTGACATCTCACTTTTGGCCACTTCTCTTAGAAGAATCATTGCCCACAGCTCCAGTTGGTGGTGCTGTCACAGTTTCTTCAGTGTATTACCCTTCCAATGCGTTACATTAATTGAATTGAGGTCTGCACCCAAACCAATGTTTATCAGGCGACCATCTGTGGCCTGTGACATGTGCCTGTTGACCCATGTTGGAGTTGTGTCTGTCTGATGAGGTTAACGATGACATGACCTCATGAATGGAGGAATCAAGTGAGAGTCTTGAGCTGTAATTTTGCATTGTAATCAGGGCTGCAACAATATTGGAAATAAGTCTGATATGGGAGTGGCGTAATATTGATGTATATTTCATATTATCCTTCCCTATTATAATCAATAAGCATGTTAGAGCTGCAGTGATTTTTCCATGTGTCTTTTGTTTGGAGGGCTCCAATGCAGAATGAGGACAGTTGTGTGTGAAAAAACACATAATTATTGCACATTTTTGCAAAATCAATATTGCACCAGCCATTTTTGTTAAAACAACTACATAATATTATCATTATTCTAATGTTTGTTTTACATTTTTTTACATTGCATCACCATAAAACATGATCTATTGAAATATTATGAAACAACTTTCATTACTATTTTCATATTAAGTCAATGGAGAAGGGATTTTGCACATATTTTATATACATATCAAAAATGATAATCATAAAGAATAAACACATCTGCAAGAATGCATACAATGTTGTATTATTGTGCAATAATAGAGTACGCTTTTAGTCTTCATTCATTTACAAGACTTGTATAGTTTTGATATTGTACATTTCAGCTATATTCAAATGCACTCTTTAACCCGAGCCAACTGCATAGGGAGCTTAACTGTGAAGAGGTCTGTTGTGTTTTACACTAATCTGTTGGAGATATGACAGTAAGGCACATGTGTTGGCTTGGTAACCAATCTAGTATCCAGTGGCAACAGAGGTCTATTGAATGCTGGGGTGGCTCTGTATTGGCTGCTGCTGTGTGCCCACTACACACCACCACTCTCTCATGGTGTCACAAAGTCACACACTATCCATATAGCAGCTCTGAATAATGCTGGGGTTGTGCCATATCCAGCGCAGCAGTCAATATTTGTAATGTGTGAGATTGGGGAGGTGGGGTCATCTGTGCAGTGGTGTACAAGTGGCCTTTGTGTGGAAAGACTTAATGTACTGACCTGCAGGTGCTAGCACTCAAGAAACACTTTCTATAGAAGACTCTCACTGAAATACTAATGCATGGCTGATGTCTAGTCCCACTTTGAGCTCTTATTCCACAATAAAATGCATGCTTTACAAAGATAATTATGGACTATGACGTCTGAAGGCATGTGTGGCAGCAGAGGCAGACACAACAGGATAAGCGTCTTTGTCTTGGACTCCTGTCTGTCAGAGCTCCCTCCCTGCCTCCCCTTTATTTGGGCGGCTGTTAGCAAGGGGGCAGATGGCTCATTACCATAAATAGGACAGAGAAAGAGAGAGAGAGGGAGAAAGTGAGCTAGGGGGCTGTGCACATCGAGTAACAGGACCACGCTGCCCAAAACTAAGGAAGAAGGAGGCCGTTGCTATGGGGGAAAGGATAGACAGCTTTATAGCAACGGAAAGCTCATTTTCCCCCCACACAGCCTCAACAAAAGTCCCGCCTTCTTTGGCCCTGCATGGATCTCACTGCCTGTCCCAGGACAGATGGTCAGCAAACTCGGTCTCAGCAGCTGGACAGGGTTCCACATCCACCATCATCACAGGACACAACTTGGACTATGAACCTAGAGCTTATGACAAAAGGCAATTCACTAATTTATACAACCCCACTTGTTGCCCACATAGTTGCAGCACACATGTGGTTTGCATTAAATGTAACTACTGTATCTACTTGTTATTTGACAATATATTCCTCACAAGCAAAATACAAGGTGTTATAGAATCTTTTCCATGTTTGTGACCAAAAGCTGGTAGTGTTAGGGGACATGCAAAACTAAACAAAACACCTCAATAACAATAAATCATGTCGCCGGGAGGACAAGAGCAGCTATGTTTCATGCATGACATAAACCAAGACAAGAAAGAACCAAGAATCATTTAAGAATTGAATTTAGTTGCATGTAATTGTGAATATATTCTTTTGATTAATTTATGAAACAATTGTATTACTGGAATTGAGTTGGAGAGATTTGTTCCCCAATTTGTCCACATATTTTTGCAGACTTTTCAAACAAATGTTGTACAGAATTCAAGTAGATGTTTAAAAAAAAAAAAAAAAAAGCTCTCAATTTATCCAATCTTAAGAAGTGTAGATGATTTCATGTCATGTCCTCAACTATAGTTTTGTTGTTGCTTTCCCATATTTGACTGATACTTGGGCAAAAGTAATCTGGGTTAAAGGGGTGTGAGTGAAAGGAGCATGTCGGAAGCATGTTAAGTAAGCAGAAAAGAGGCGGTGCTGTATCACCTCGCCATCCGTCCTGGTTGCATAGAAACACGCGGACGGGCCAGGCCTACCCCGCAGACACACTTCTCTCCTCTCTGCATGCTTCATTACCCACTGCTCAGCCAGGCACAGAGGCACTACACCATCCTGCCCCTCCACAGCTAAACAGTCCTGATCCCAGGCTGACCTAGCCAGGGCAAGCATGGACCCTCGGGCATCAGGTCACTCTCTTTGATATAGACTAGATTGACAGAGAGAAAAGACTAGCCCATTTACTGATATCAGTGGTTTGCATATTTTTCTGCTTTGATTTAAGATATCCTTCATGAAGCAAATATTTGAAAAATAATAATAATATTGTGAATTTCTTTAGTCTAGGCCAGGGAGCTAGAGGGTTCTGCGCAGTATCTTTGCTGTTCTTAACACTGCACATTTCTGGACCAGGATTTCCGAGGTTTTTCAAGGGATCTGCCGCAACCACTTCTCCAGCTTTTTGGGTCACTACCCCAAGTGCCCCGATCACCATGGGCTCTAGTGTCCTCTCCAGCTCCTATTTGAGCCCTTGGTATTTCTCTCTTTGCTCAGCTGACACCTTGGGTCTTGTCTGGTGTGGTATATCTGGGCTCTGGTGCTCAGGACCTGCACCTGTGCAGCCATGATGAGTGCCTCTGTGCTGTCCTGTAGGCAGTGTTGGGAAGAATACTTTGAAAATGTATTCCCTTATAGAATACTGAATACATGACCTAAAATGTATTTTGTATAGTGTTCCGTTACTTTGGAAAAAGTAGTACCTGTATTCTGAATACTTTTAATTAATATTTTTGTATTATTTGTATTTATTATTAATAATATATATTTACAAAACTTATAAAGGTATTGTTTTTAATTCTTAAAACCACAACCTCAATAAATATTTGAATAAATAAAACTTGTTTTGAAATTATCGATAATTTTTGTAATTGTGTATGACAAGTCAAAGTGCTTCAACAGCTGCATTTACCAACCAGAGAAACAGAACTTCACTTTAAGACTACCCAATGTTCTATTTCATTATTTTTATTATTATTTTTATCTTAAAACCTAATGTGTAAAAGTATGTATTCCTGTGATTTTCAGAAAGTAACTGTTTTCTAAATACTAGAAGTAAGAGTATTCTGAATACATGTATTCTGTTCTCCCCAACACTGCCTATAGGCCAGCCATTTCTAGCCATTGGTAGGATTTTTAACGGACCCTCCTCCAGCACCTCCTCATCTCAACACTGTTTGAGACAGTCACATGCCATCCGTTTGAGCCTTCTTCTTGATGTGGTTGTGGACTTTGGTTGTTTCTTCCTGGACAGTAGCTCTCAAGTCTTCGGCCTTCTTCTTTATGACTTGCGTACTCGAGGTGCTGGATATGTATAT